ATCAAATATGCATGAAAAGTCAAACTGCAAAGACGCTCATTTTATGGCGATTAATGTAGAAGCATATTGCAATCTGTGGTGCTGAAGAGGTGGATAAACTGTGTATGGTGTAAAACGAGATATACATCCTGGACCCACATTTTCAGCAGTGTCATCCTGAGATTATTGACAGGCTCTTCCCTTCTTAGGACTTTAGGACTCCGTTACTTTGGCGCAGGATTTTTGGGAAGTGTCTTGTGCTCAAGTGTTTTGGATGTTCTGTTTTGGATGTTCTGTGCTGTAGTTCACATCTGCTGTTAGAGCAGATTAGGGTTCTAAACACTCTGGGAAAACAATTTGATAAGCTATATTTCTGTATTGCTTTTTTAAATTTGGTCTAATGTGATGTTCTAGCTTTTGTGATGTATTGCTAAACTCCTTTCTAAACTTTGCTCATTCCTCATTCAGGCTCTGAGGTCATTGTGGGGGTCAACAAATATCGTCTTGAGAGCGAAGAGACGGTGGAAGTTCTGGCCATTGATAACACTATTGTGCGGCAAAAGCAGATTGAGAAACTCCAGAAGGTCAGTTCCCTATCTTTGGGAATTATGTATGTGTATAAGAGGATTAAAAACTCCCAAAGGAGTAGCTGAGTAGCCTTTCTGAGGTGTAATGGTGTTTGACTGCAGTTCACTCTGACTAAAACAGCTTTTACAGGTTTTTTTTTTTAATCTGAAGCCATTATAGGTGCTTTTACAATACAGCTTGCCATTAGAGAAAATTAGACTTAATTTTACAATAGACAGTCATTTTATGCTATAGAGTATAATATATATTTAGTGAATAATTACGGTCGGCACATTTTGTGTGTGGGGCACATGACTGATCACACTATTAGGAGCTTTTTTATGCGTATATATTTTTTGTCAGTTTAGATACCAAACAGAAAGGTCTGAACACAGAACACTGTAGTTTAGCCTTAAAAGAAAGAAATAAATCATGTTGTAATATATTTTTGTATTAAACTGAATCCTGTTTTAAATTTTCTGCCTTGTTGCCTGTGACATATAAGCATTCCTGAAATGATAACCACTTGGCTTAATGTACGTTATGAACACTTAATGTAAAACAGTGGGGTCCAGACATCTGAGACCACATTGAAAATCTGGGATTTATTTTCATTTAAAATTGGAAATAAACCGAAGGTTTTAGCATTTTGAAATATTTAAAACAAAGAAAGTAAATGTTCAATATCTTGAATATTTAATATTTCAAGATTCTGCACTATTTCTAGGTCCCTGTTTAAATGTAAGCAAATGTGTGAAATTGACCATGTTAACTGCTTTGTACAAAAGATCAGATTTTCCTCATGCTTAATGTCTTCTATTGAAGCATGTGTTCAGAGGACATTGTGATGGATTTGATCTAAAATTGATCATAAGGTTTTGCAGAAACTTGTGGAGTCTGTGCCAGCTCGAGTGCACACTGTCATTAAAGCAAAAAGGGGCATACCAATTACTAAGAAACTCTGAAAGATTCTACTTTTCACTTTTCAACAACTTTTTTTTGATAACTACTTTTCAAGTTGTTGTCAATAATATAATTTGTAATGAAAATTGTTGTATTAAAGAATGCAAAATAGAGGCATTTTTACTAGCGGTCTCACTTTTGGACCCCATTGTATGCCAGATTCAAGGTCCGGGGGCCAAACACAGCCCGCTGCCTCATTTCATTCGCCCTGCACAAACGTCCAAAAATTAAAATTGAACTGACCCAGTAGTACATTACTACTCAACAATTTGCATCTGAAATTCAGTGCTTAGTGATCGCCTCATTTCACACACTCCAAGTACAGCACGCATGAGCTCACATCTCACTGGGCTGAAACACTTGATAAAATAAATGACTGTCTGCTGTGCTTGATGCCACAATTATAAAGATTTAGAAACGCATCGGGTGTTGGCCTGTAGTATTCTTCAAATGTTTTCAAATATGTTGGAAAAAAGAAAGGTAATGGAGCATAAAGACAAGAGAGTTGGGAGACTAAGGACACTGTATGGCCAAAAGTATGTGGACACCTGTGCGTCACACCCATATGTGGTTCTTCCCCTGACTGGTGCCACAAAGTTGGAACCACACAATTGTCTAGAACGTCTTTGTGTGCTGTAGCATTAAGATTTCCGTTCACTGGAACTAAGAGGCTCAAACCTGTTCCAGCATGACAATGTCCCTGTGCACAGAGCGAGCTCCATGAAGACATGGTTCTCTTCACCTTCATCTATTACACATATTCTTAATGGGTCTCCAAGTTTTGTTGCTCGAGTGCTGGTTGAATGGCAGCTTGCACAGTCGGAGCAGGGCTATAACAGGCTGTGATGAGGCTGCAATGTGCTTGTTTTAAAGGTGAGGGAGAGCAGAGACGACGAGGCGGCGAAAAGGTGCCTGGCTGCTATAAAGCGATGTGCTCAAACCAGGGATGGAAATCTGCTGGGGCTGTCTGTGGAGGCTGCTAGGGCAAGGTGAGTCAGGCTCATTAAATAGGCTTTTCTTGACAACATGCAAGAGATATTATAGGGCAGCCATGGTATAAAATAAAGGCATTTCACAATAGACCATTGAAGAGTGTCTTACATGCTGGACTGATGCAGAACTGTGTTTTAAGTGTTTTAAGAAGGTAAAAAATGAAGGATACTTATGTGGGGTGAAAGTAACAAAAATAACTGACAAATGTAGATTTGTATAAAGAAAATTTGCAAAATTGAGCTGATCTTAATGCGAGTGAATTAAAAACAACAAATAAGCAGCAATTTTATAAACTTAAATATGATTTGTTTAAAGTAGTGCAGATTTTCTTTTTTTTTTAATTGAGAAAAGCATCTGCATTCAAGTCAGTTACAGCAGTTCGCACAGAGAGGACAACAAGGCGCCACAGCAAGATGCAAATAAAACCCTAAACAATCCCATTATCCACACCCACCCTCCCCCTACAGTCGTAAAATAAATAAATAAACAAAATTAAAAAAAATTATAATGATGAAAAAAAATGAATAAATAAACAATAAAATATGGCCATCTACTAGCAAATCTCGAAATGAGTAAATAGTGCAAATTTTGATAAAAATATGATTTGTGTTATATATAGTGTTGTGTTATATATAATTAAATATAGTAACAGTGACAAATATTCTTTGATAAGAAGAAAGGTGAAAAAATATTAACTAAATAGTAAATTAGTTTATTGGTGTGTATGAAATGTCAGTTACTCTATGGTAATTTCTTGTTTGTAGAGCTGTTGGGAAAAATAAAGCAATATAGCACTCACAAATGTGTGGTTATACTGAATATCAGCACGGCTGTGATTAGCTACGACTGTACTGAATCACCGAATCCCAGCCGTGCTGATATTCAGTATAACTACACTCTTGCTTGTGCTTGTGCGTAATCATTTTATTGAGT